GGGGATTCGAAGGTCGATCACACCGGAAGAAGAAGTTTGAATCCCGCCATCCAAAAGAAGGTTACCAGAATAAAGATAATTATAGATATGAAGAGAAACTGGGTTTCGATGAATCTCCTGAAATAATATTATCGGGGGGACTTTCATTTCGTATGAACGTGCATAAAGAAGAGATTCGATGGTCGGTCTCACCAGATGAGAACGGATGAATCGCGTTGTACTGCAGTCGTTTGGCTTTTATACGATATTCACGTTGACGCAGTCCACGAGTCTTCCTCCCTCGTTTCGGTTGTAAACGGGCTGATCTTTCATCCATCATATGATGGACATCTTTAGAGCTGGGTGGCATTCTTGTAAAAGTCTCACGTTTACACGTTTTTACCCGAAACGAGGGAGGAAGTCTCGTGGACTGCGTCAACATGTACATCGTATGAAAGCCAAACGGCTGCAGTATTACGAGATTTATTCGTCCTAATCTGGTGAGATCGACCAACGAATTTCTTCTTCATACACTTTTACACAAAATGCAACTCTCTACAATAGCGGGCATATTAACAAAATTTTTGCTTTCTGACCGTCTCACAAAGTAGCCCAAAGTGCTGCCAAGTCCCATTGAAAGCTTTATGTTTGAAGGTTTTATATTCTTACAAGTCTGATTGTAAACGCCTGAAATTAGAGATCAATCCAGCCCTAATATTTGCTTCTTTGAATTACACTTTTAATGTAAATGACATGTTGGTGAAACCCTAACGACCATTTTTCTCTAAGCTGTCTTCTGTCTTCCTCCCTCCGTTTCTCCTTAACTTTTCCCTCATTATTCCCATAACAATAAACATTCATCTTCTTTATTGGCGTTTCCATTTGCATCTGTGTCTTTCCTTACCCTTTCCTATCCATGAAATTGTACTTCTACACCTTAACCACCAAACGTATATGCCTCCCTTCACGATTTTCAAACACTATTGAGTGTTTAGGACCTGTTTAAGTTGACTTTGGAACCAGTTCGCAATGTGCTTATTAACTCCGGCATTGAAAAATCGGCTATCGACGACATCGTTCTCGTGGGAGGGTCTACCCGCATTCCACGCATCCAACAGTTGGTGAGCGAATTTTTCGATGGCAGAACACCGAACACTGGTATCAACCCGGACGAGGCAGTGGCGTATGGAGCCACGATTCAAGCTAGCATTCTGGCAGGAGACATCTCCACTGGGGACATCCTACTTCTTGATGTCTGTCCACTGACCTTGGGCATGGAGGTATATCCAATTAATAATGAAATTATTTTTACGGAAACTGCGATTTTTAATATTAGGATTTGACTCTACCCCATTCGCAACCTCACATTTGATCCCAGACGGAATAGAATAAGGGAATACAAAAAAAAACAATACTTTCTAAGGAACAGATAAACCTACCGTTCCTGATTATTCATTTTTCATGATGGCATCAAATGAGGAGCCTGCATTCCCCAATTTCATCGCTGTGCTGGTATAGTCTGCTGTATGAAGAGGCTCTAGGCGTGAACTATGAAATCATGCCTAGCCTGATGGCTACAGCCTCAACTGCGGGAGACGAATGACATATGTGATGATGCTAAACTTGAAAGTTTTTGTAGGTTCGTTCCAATTTAGTATGGTAGAAATTTCCCCCCGTTTTTTCACTAACTACATAGAAAACGTATGTAGGATGCGACTGCAAATAACCAGACACTGAGAAAACGCTAGAATGGTACAGATTAACTGCTCTGCTATAAAAACGAAATCGATTTTTTTTAATGGAAAAACCAGAAAGCATTGATGATAAGTACAAGTTCCCTCGAGACTCAATTTTCTAATTGCAACAATTTTTTATGTTAAGTAGTTCAATCAAGATAAGCTTGGTTTCCCTGAGGCCTGTTAGATTCCAGTTTCCCAGATTTTACTCATTGCCTTTAAAACACAAAACTAGCACTTTTCTAACATTTTACACTTCGAGTTAAAGTGTTGGGGGAAGAGATTCGAAGGTCGGTTCCACCACTATCGAAGTTGACATATGACCTTAACTAACCAAATAACTTTATACTTGATCAAAGAGGCCAGATTTAGAGT